GCCGGGTCCAGCGTCCAGTAGTTGCCCTTGCGCTCGCCGCCGCCCTCGCGCGGCACTTTGATGAAGCACTCGTTGAGGCTGAGGTTGTGGCGGATGCTATTTTGCCAGCCCTTCTTGTTCTTCTCGTAGAACGGGAACTTGGCGATGATGTACTGGTAGATGCCGGACAGCGTGAGCCTCTTCTCCGCGCTCTCGCGGATCGCCATGGCGATGAGCGCCACGTACGAGTACGGGGGCTTCTGCGCCGGGTCCGGCTTCTCCGGGGCTGTCCCGCCGCCACCCCCTCCGCCCTTGCCTGCGCTCGGCGGCGGCGCTTCTGGCTCCTTGACTGTGCGGCCGGTCTCTGGGGCCAGCAGGGCCCCCGCCGCGTCCTCGGGCTCGGGGTAGCTGGCCATCATGACAAAGCCGGCGCGCCGCGGCCGGGCCGCCTCTGCTCTCCGTTCCAGGCGCTGGCGCGGCAAAGAGTTGGGGCGCACAAGTCCGCTTACGGCCGAGTCTCAAACTTCTGGAGACTGCGGATGCCGCCCGCGTTTGCTTGCTGGAGGCCTCTCGCTGCTCTCCCCTCTCCTTCCCCTTCCCCTAGGGAGCGGCCGGCGGGAGTGGAGCTCAGCCTCTGGCCATGGGGAGTCCGCCCAACAGAGAGGGGCTCCGGCCTCGCCGCCCCTCCCCGTCCAGGCCAGTCCCCGCCTTGGTGGGTTTTCTGTTCAGCTCTCTTCCCCTCCCCCCGCCCCCCGGTTTCCCGAAGCACGACCCGCGTCTCTGGCAGAGCTGCCTCCTGGAGTCCCTAGTGCGCCAGGAGCCTCGCTCTGTTCTGATTCGTATGGGCTCCACCGAGTTCCGCTTGCGTCAGGCGCCTTCGCCCCTATAGCGGGGCGGCCAGCCGCGCACGGGCGAGTTCATCTCCAAGTCACTTTTTGTAAACGCCCCGCACAGCCTGGACCGGCCTGCCCCCGCCCGGCGAGCCTCCGGGGCCCAGCCGACAGCCAGGCTCACGCGCCCTTGAAATCTGCCGGTACTCTCTCTGCGGGCTGGGCTGGGAGATGACAAGGACCCCGGTGGGGTCCACTCGCACCCAGCCAAAGCCCAGGAAGCTCGGGCCCCAGCGAGAAGAGGCGCTCCAAGCCTCCTCGCGGCTTTCAGGTGAAAGAAAACGACTCCTTTGCTCTGCCGTTTGCTGCTGTCTTGAGGCTGAACTAGCTCGGGGCTGGGGAGGGGCGAGACGGCGCAGGGCCGGACGGGGTAGGGTGGGGAGAGCTGCTCTGAGGCTTTGGGAAAATGAGCACAGAAACGCGTGTGACTGTACGAAGAAACCTCGGACTGGCCTGTCTCTCTCGCTCTCAGAGTGACTGGGCTGGAATGGGGCTGGGGAGAGGATCTCTGGGAATAGTCGTACAGGGGCGCCGCCTGAATAACCTCTGCCTCTCCCTGCGTTGCCAGTGGATCTAGGAACCAGGCTCCTCCTTGGAATCCCTGTACTAATCCTATGGGGTTGGAGTGAAGGTTGGATGTGTGCTTTAACAGCACCAAGTAGATGCCCATCAGCTATTGCGCTAATACAGCCGGGGATGTTGCCGGGACTTTGCAGGACTGTGTATGTGTGTGCACAGGGGTCACATATGGAAGTCATGGAGAAGAGCTGTCCTTGAGATGGGTGAGATACCAGGTGCATGTATGCTGCTCAGAAACACAGGTATGCACATGTACAAGGTGTGAGATTTGTATTTACAAGGTAAAACACACTGATACTGATAGTTACATAATATGTTTATCAAGTATCAGAGTAAATGTAGCTGGTGGATATAGCATCTTCTCTTTTTCTCCTTTCTTCTTTCCTTCCCCTCTTTCTTCCTTTCTTTCACAATTCTTCGATGCCTCTTTCCCTCCCAGTGCATGTATTTCGCCACAGACTGGGAAGAAAAACATCAGGCTGAGGGAGGGACTTGTTCAAATCTCTCTCCTGATGAGACATTTGTTCTGATCTTTCTCCAGAAGATCAGGAGTTAGTTGTCACCTACCTTAAGCAGAATTCTGATGGGAATCCAGTTATATCAGCATGTACAGAGATTGTTTCAGGGAAAATCAGGTGTGCCTTTTAACAGTATGCTCCTTAACAGTGCCTTTTAACTTGGCCTTAACAAAAAGTCTGCAGTTATAAAGTATGAGACAGATGGCCAGTGTTTTGAATCCTCAAACCCCAAACTCCTTGGTGCTGAGGAGTGGGGCAAGGCTGCCTTATGGAGGAAGGTGGACTGAATGGATGTCCTGTAGGTGTGCGTTAGTGATTGGCATGTCTGGAGTGGCTGGCTCAATGCCTGTCACTGCTTCTTCCTCCCAGGCTATTTCGACTCTGAGAGTTCTCCAGAAGCCCAAGGAGCCTTCAGTGGCCTGTAGTTCCAGCATCCACAGGCCATCTACAAGTGTTGTCTGCTGCTCACTCAGGCCTCTGATCTGCATTCTGAGATGAAAGGGAGGGAGGACAAGGGTGCTGGGGCTCTTTGGAATTCAGCATCTTGAAGATGACACCAGAGAGGTCAGCAGGGCAACCCTTGCCTGGTCACAAGGATGAGAGGGAGCAAGGCTATCCACAAAGTAGCTTGGTTTTTTTTTATGGGCGGTCTCCCACTGCACCCAATAGGCATGGGGGAAGCAGCACTTCTGCAGAATCCCTGCTGCTGCTTTCTGAGCAGGAGTGCAGATGTTTTTCTTCTTCCTTACCCCCATCCTTGCCCAGGCTTTGGGTGGGAGTAGTGAGTCAGATTTGGGGCTGCTGCAGATTGGCCTAGTGCCTATCCTCCCCCAGCCAGGGCCTGGGCAGGGGGAAAAACAGCTGGGTCTGGCCCTATCCTGGTGGGGGCTCCTCTCTCCTTTTCTCTCTCTCTCTTTTTTCTTTTTTTTTCTGACCACCCAGGCTGGCTCTCTGCTTCTCTCTCTCTCTTTCTTTCTTCTTCTCACAGGCATTTCCGCTGCTCAGCCCTGCAGCAGCCAGGTGTAACAGCATTGTTGTGTGTGTCATCACTTCCCTGAATTCCATACTCGGCTCCCTTTTCAGCCTTTAAGGAGCCTGTGTGTGTGTGTGTGTGCGCGCGCGTGCGTGCGTGTGTGTGTGTGTGTGTGTGTAGGGGTTGGGGGCAAATGAAGGCGTTCCTCTAAAGGATTTTCAGAGTAGAAAGGAGTTCTGCTCTGAAAATATTGATTTCTGACTGTTCCGTGGAGGAACAGAACCCCCAGCCCTGGTGCAGAAGAGGATGCCTGATGCGTGCACCCTGGGAAGGGCTGGAATCAGTCTCCCCAAGATGTGCCTTCACATGGCGGTCGGCATTCGAAGGCTCAGAAAACAGGCAAGAAAATGCGGGCAAGAAGCCTGGCAGAATGATTACTTTCAGGTCCCCTCCAGGCCTCTGCGGAAAAGCCAGGGGCTTCGAGCTGGAGACAGAGGAGCCTAGGAAGAGAGTACAATCCTCTCCTTGCCAGCCCAGCCAGAGGTGGGTGAAGCGGGCGCTCCAGGAAACGGTGCGGGACGCCTTGATTTTTTCTCAGCCTTCGGAGGCAGGCTGGTTGCTGGTGGGGTCGGGATCCTCTCTGAACAGGGCATACTGTGCCTAGGTTTTGTGGACGCCCGGGCCGGTTCCTTTTCTCTCCGCGGCATTGGGGCGACGCAGGGCCCCGGCTTAGTGACCTTGGGGCGGCGCTCACTTCCAGAGGCCAGGGTGGTGGGCTGGGCAGAGATCACTGCCTCTTTGCCCCAGTTTTCCAGGGTCCCGCAGCTGCAATTGAGCAGCCACCAGCGCCTCCTGACCGCGGTCCCACCGGAGCGCCGCCTGCGGTCACGGTTCCAGTGAACCGCCGACCGAGCGCAGCCTCAGCTCCCGCGCCTCCTCGCAGTCTGGCCCCGCGCCTCGGAGGTCCCGACAGCCGGCGCGAGCAATCTGCTCGGCTCTAACGCAGACGCTTTTCTCCCCAGGGCCGGGAATCCTGCAACAGCGGCAGAAGCGGCCCTCGCCTCTGGCTCCCGGTGGCCCAGCTCTACTAGGGGAGCGTCGCGGCTGCTCTGAGGCAGGCAGCGCTTCGTTAGCACCGTTCAGCTCGTCCCGCGCCGACGCCAGCTGCCTGAACCAGGTCCCGCGGTCCCCTTTCCTAGCGGAACCCCGAAACAGCCGTCGGTTTCCCACTCCTGAGCGGGAGAGAATAGAGCCTGCTGCAACTCTCTGCTTGTAGGGATGGCCTCTGCAGTGCTTGACCAGCAAAGGGACGCTTCATTGTGTCTATTAGTACATCCCCATACACTCCACTCCTCAACAACTGTCAGCACTCACGCCCTCCTGGCCCCTCACACCTCCCTTTGCACCCACACCTCAGGGACCCGGTGTCCCTCCACTTAGGTCACGTTACTCCATCCACTTCTCTCTCTCTCTCTCTCTCTCTCTCTCTCTCTCTCTCTCTCGGTCAACTCCAGATCCCCTCTAGTTCTCCTTCCCCGCCTACTTCTCTCACACTCACCAGCTACACATACTAATTCAGATCCTGCACATGTCGGTGGAAAACATGTCAAGCCAATGTGCAGACCCTAAGCTTTTTCCACACTCTGCTCACCTTCCCATCTCACGGCACAGGATGATCTCTGGGCTCCATGTTTACAAGCCTGACTCCCAGAAGCCTGTTGATTCTCTGATGTCCTTGGCCTGTGATTGGAGTGACTGGGCTGCCACCTGGGTGTTTTCATGGTGGGATTGCTGCGCAGACCACAGAGAAGCTCAGGTACTGAGCACATTCCAGATACACTTTAACATGCACAGGCCACTCACACAGGCTTCATCTCTGTCTCACAGCTCTGCTGAGCTTGCTGCAGCAGCAGACACCCACATAGCACCAAGTCTGAAGTCAGTGGGTATTAGTCTGCCTGGCTGGGATTAGCAAAGTCAGTTATGTGCTTGGGAGAGAACAGGGGAATGGGGAGAGAGAGAGATATTGAGAAAGAGGAAAGAGAAGCGACCTCCTACTCTGGGAAGAACTCACACATGAGAGCTGTTTCCTGTTGTTAAGTGTCTCATTGAGCTCCCCTCTTTCTCCCCCAGGAAGGGCTGAGAGGCAGTAGAACAGAACTCTGGCTCCTCTTTACCTTGCTGATGTGGGGGTATGAGTCCACCAACACTATTTTGTCCCAAGGAGTATGTGCCTCACCGTCAATCAGGCAGAATGCAAGGCAGTTGTAGGCCTTTTTCATGGTGGAGGCCAACTGGGAAAAAGGCAGAAGGGGCTGGGTCCTGGGCCAAGTCAGGCCCTCCTCCCTCCAAAGACCCCTGGGATGCTCTCAAAGCCGGATTCTAGGGTGGTGGGAGCTGCTGACAAGCATCCTCTGATGTCCCTCATGACATCTATGGCCCAAAGCCATTTTGTTCAGCTCTGAACAGTGAGTGCCTTGCCAGTAGGCCTCAGACTTGCTTGGGAACATGATGTGCTCTTAAAAGTTGCCTCGTTGCGGCTCTCCACACCCAGACTGTAAGCGCTAATGGGCAGAGTCTGCCCTCTGCTCCTCACTCAGTGCTTCCCACCAGGATGGGCTTAGTACTTTTTAATAGAATTAGAAAACGGTTCCACTGGACAGAATTGGGAAATGCCACTTTCCTTATAATGAAGTTAGAATTTCCAAGAAAGGGACTGTAGCTGAGGAAGAGTGGTTTGACCATTGAGAGCCAGCTCAGGATCTGAGAGTTCTCTGCCATTTGGGGTTACTTGCTCATTATAGCTGCATGACCATGGTGCTGAACCTTAGGCAAGGACAAGGACACCTCCCTAGTCCCCAATCAGGGTG